TCCCAGTGTTGTAATTTCAAATATCTACCTCACTTGAGATTCCAGTTTCTGCGTTTTGAATGAATCTTTTCCAGCAATTCTTGAAGGAATGAAAATATATTGTTATAAAAATCACTTATGTCACCAGTGTTGTAACTTCAAAGATCCCTATTTTCGACTTTTAACTCCAGGGTTTAGTAGCTTGCACTGCTGTTACATTAATGAATCTCTATCACGTTAAATTAATGAATTATCGGTTCTTTATCGCATTATATCGTTAAACTCTATTTTGATTGATAGGTAATGATAAAAATATACGTAACCTTTGTATGCTTGAAATTAATAAAAGAATGGGCGACAAAAAATTCAAGCTTTCGTAGTGTAAATACTACTAATACTAAATATATCATCGTACCTCTCCTTTCTTTTCCTTTTTTCTTCTTTGCCTAGTTCGTTCCAATTTTTTTATGCTACCTGGTCTTAAGCTATGTTATCTATTAACTTATAATATATAAAATATGTGAAATACGTGTATATTTCACTTAACTAGCTAGTAGGATGTATTGTATGTGTGATGTGTCATATAATACTGTCGTCAAGTTATTAATAATCCGTAGATTTAAGATTGCTGATAGATAAACACAATAAACACAAGAATGTTTTTCATTATTATTAATTTATACCGCGTCCTATGCATAGCTTCAAGGGCGCTTGGATAAATAATGACTTTTAAAGTTTCCGTAGGTCTTGATAAACAAAAAGTTTTTTAATCGTTTCCTAAAAAGTTTGATGGTTGATGGCTGGCAAACCATTCCATATGGAAGGAGAGCTGTATATAAAACAAACGATGTTTTCTTTGCCATCAATTTTTTGCACCAAATTAGACGATCATTTCATTTAAATTTAGAGCTTTCATGTTTTGCTCGATTGTTTGCGACCAGGACTTTTTTGGACGGCTTTTGGGACTTCAACATCTGCAAGAGAAGTTTTGGCACTGTTTCCACTTCGCTTGACATGACCACTACGATCAAGACTTTATAAATCTGTGATACGTCCGGTGTTGTTATATGTTGCAGAAACATGGCCAATGACAACCAAACTGGGACAACAACTTCAACGAACCGATATGAAAATGCTTCGATGGATGCAACGAATTAGTCTGAAGGACCACATCAAATCTACCGAATATATATATATATATATATATATATATATGTGTATATATATATATATATATATATATATATATATTAGGAAGAAGACCAAGTTCTATACAGTTGTTCAAAAAATCCACCGACGATTCAGCATTAACAAGTTTTATGGTTGATTTTCTAATATTTTGAACTAGTTCTTTACAATTAAGTCTATTCAAAATGTTGAAATTCATTTTATAATTGTTTATGATTTTAATTGTTAAAATTAATCAAGCAAGATCCCATTTTTATAATCGTTTATTTTTTATATTATTATTAAAGTTATGCATATAGATCTATTTCGACGTAAAGTCATCATCAGTGCAATATATATTTTAAATAAATTCTATTAATAGTTAATTAGTTGTATTTTTTAATATATTAAAATAAAATAAAAGTAACGAAATAAAAACGCAAAGGTTCATTGAAATTAGTAAACAAAATATTTGAAATTATACGATTGTTCATGCTACGTGGCCG